GGGCTGTACAGGAGTGGGGTGCATGCAGGGGCTTGTTTGGGGCTTAGGCCTGCACAGGACTTCTCAGGTTGTAGTTTCTCCCTCTGTAAATGGGAATCATGAGACCTGGCTCCCATATGACAGAGAGGGACTGGAAGGGTCCAATGGGAGTGCTGCCAGCTCTTTGCAAGATTACCAAGGCACCACACTTGTTGCCGGGGAAAATGCAGAAAGCGGAGGGCCTGAGCTCAGATACTGGCTCTGGCCTGTATGGCTGCAGAACTGGACACCACCCATTCACTTTTCTCAACCTGGTCTGGAGTGGAGATGATGAGCCCCAGAGGGTAAAGGAGGCTTGGCCAAAGTCAGAAGTGAAGGAGCTTTGAAATGCAACTGAGCGCTGTCCACCCAGGGGCCATTGTGAAACTCCAGCTTTGGACTGGGCCATTTTAAGGGCCCACCTTGCAACAGAACCCTAAGTGGAAGGTGTATGTTGGAAGAGGCAGGCAGAGGGTGATGATGTGGGTCAGTTCTTGGACAGGCATGTCTCAGGAAAATAAATGGGCAACTCAAAAGCATACTCTGCCAGTGTCCTTGCTAACCTGGTTGCTGAGTCTGCCTAGCTCCACTCAGAACCCTCCCTGCCTCTGTGGTCTCTAGAGTATTTCCAATTCCACTGCCCTGGTAGGCCTTTCCTTCCAACCCTGGGGTATTTCTAAGGACGCTGTGTCCTGTCAATAAAGGAGATCTGTCCACAGGGATCAGAACTTCACTGTCACTGATCCTGCTCAGGAAAGACCTGTGCAGACCTGAATGGAGAGGGATTTGCATGGTCAAACCAACCAGCCATGGGGTCATATTTTGCCCTTGCACAGAGCACTTCAGGGCCTCTGGAACATTTTCCTTCTTACATCCCAGTTCTTTCCCTCTATAACATTCCAAGAAGGAAGAGCGAGCAAGAAACAGAGCAGGTAGGGAGGAGGAGGGGTAAAGCCCTGGGTGATGCAGAATACATCCATGGTGTTGGCTAATTAGACAATATTTATAATTGGGTTTTATATATTTAATAATTTGTGTTTATGTATATTGTATAATTTGTATATATTTAATAATTTGGGTTGTATATATATATTTAATTTCTTTTAGTGATTGATAGACCTTTGTCTTATTCGTTTATTTATATACATTGCTGAGCTTCGAACCCAGTGCTTCACACATGTGAGACAAGTGCTCTACCACTGAGCCCCTGCCCCAGCGCTGTATATTTACATATACTTTAAAAGTAGGGGGGCTGGGGATGTGGCTTAAGCAGTAGCGTGCTCGCCTGGCATGCATGCGGCCCGGGTTCAATCCTCAGCACCACATACAAACAAAGATGTTGTGTCCACCAAAAACTAAAATAAATAAATAAATATTTAAAAAAAAAAAAAAAAAGTAGGGCTAGCGTGTAGTTCAGTGGCAGAACTCACCCAGTTGGTCATGGCCCTGAGATCAACCTCCATCCCACCCTCCAATATAAATAAATAAATAATAAAAATAGAAAGATGAGATTTTTTTTTCTGTAATGTTTTAAAGGGACTTGGTCAAAAGGCAGTTTGTTTAATGGAATCTGGGAGAGCTGAAGCTGGTGTGTAGTTAGCCATGAAAACATTATGACCTCTGCCAAGTCTAGCACCATCTCCCCTCCCAGCCTTAGGGAAGGTCACTTCTCCCCAGATGCAGGAGGAAGGAGCTGGACAGATGGTCTCTGAGGATCCACCAGCTTGAATTTAAGACAGTGACTCTTATTTCCTCAGTGACTCAGCCACACCTCCGATTCCTCAGGAATGAAAGAAATGTTGCCACATGCTGTATAGACTAGAGCTGCAGGGTGCTGCTCCCACAAGCATGAGAAAGTGCGCTTGAAGAGATGAGGTGAATTGCCCTGGGTGCTGGCCCACGGCTGGAATCCTAGTGGCTCAGGAGTCTAAGGCAGGACGATCACAAGTTCAAAGCCAGCCTCAGCAACTTAGCAAGGCCCTAAGCAACTTAGAAAGACCCCGTTTTGGGGCTGGGGATGTGGTGGGGATGTGGCTCAAGCGGTAGCGCGCTCGCCTAGCATGCGTGCGGCCCGGG